GTGACATTTGGGGTCGGATACTTTGTGATGTGGCAGACTGTCCTGTGGCTTGCAGGACCTTTGGCAACATTCCTGGCCTCTACCCACTAGATGCCACAACTCTTCCCGAGCTGTGAAAATAAAAAATGTCTCTAGAAATGTCAATGGCCCCAGGAGCTGAGACCCACTGTTTTACAGGAAAACAGCGGAGAGTCCCGGCTGGAAGATCAGGTTTCTCTCTCTGCTGCAGCCCGGTTGGTGAGGCAGGAGTCTTCTCCTCCCAACACTTGCTCAGGTGCCCCTCCATGCGAGTGTTCCTGCAAGGCACTGGCAGAAGCACCTAGGGTGGTGAGTTAGGGGTGACTAGTCAGGTGGATATTTCTGGGGGTGTAGAGGTGTCGGAGGGCAGTTTTTGAAGCGGGATCATGAAAAGGGCTGGGTGGGAGGACGGGGAGCGGCAGAGGCCGATGGGGTTTCCCACCTCCGTCCTTCTGACCTCGGGTACCGGGAGCACCTACAGTCCCAGAGATGGCAGGGCAGTATTGTGTGGTTTCTCTCCTTCCCTCCCTCTTCAGCACTCTTCTGGACAACCAGGGTGACATGAGCCGGGAAGTGCTGTACCGAGAAGGGGGGTGGCTCGGAAGCAGGGGAGGGAGGGTGTGGAGGTGCACCAAAGGGCAGAAGCAGGTTGAGGGGTGCCATTTGGACACTCAGCAAGGGACAAACTGGACTGGATTTGTTCCCAAACCTTCCTGATGCCATGACCTTGAATAGGCACCCCCCTCCCATTCTACTTTCTCTTTGCCACCTTTTTGACCTGCATTTTCCCATTTTACCCATTGATTTGTTACATGGGTATGGACCAAATACCTATTGGATGTCCAGCACAGTATTAAGCCCCTGGGCATGTTTTTATTTGTTTTTGAGTGATTCTTTTTTCAAGGTGGGAGTAAGGACAAAACTATCTAGTTGGAAAACTATTACACATTTCACTAGAAAACTAACATCCTTTCACACACACAAGCTGTGAAGCCACTCAGACCATATACATAAATGCTGAAGGAAGGGGGAATAAAACACAATTTCTTAAAGTGGTCAACAAATGGGCTTCATGAACTGATGTTAAAAGGGCAGAAAGGAAATCCAACCTAAACAAAGGGCACCACAATCCTGTCATACCTCCAGGCTGGCACTGCCCTCAAAGGGCATGGGGGTCAAAGGTCATGTTCAGTAGAAGGAGCTCTTCTCCAAATGGAATAGATCTGACCCTTCTCAGTTTAACTGATTCTAAGTTTTCTTCTTGCAATTTATGGGAATAATCCATTTCTTTTGTTCCTGTCAAGGATGCTGAGCCTAATACCAGAAACCAGTTAAAAGCCACGCCCTTCCATCAAGGGCAGGTGCAGACGAGGTCTGTGTAGGGCAGGCACACACAGTCATGGACTGTCACTCGTCCAAAAAACAGCAAAGCCAACAAAACTCTCCTGCAAACTATCCAAAGGCAACCCCAAGAGTCAAGCCAGGTTACTGCAGTAAACACAACCCGTTACAGAAGCAACTACTGATCAAGGAATTGATCAGCTCCAGGAGTCACTCCAGACCAGGCACTGGGATGGGGGTGGGGTGGGGTGGTAATTTGTTTATTGTTTAGACAGACAGTTTGGGGATGGAGGAATGGATAAGCAATTCCTCCCTAGCAAACCTAAGCAGCATCATAAAATGCAAAATAATACCTTAATTAATTATGGACATGTCATTTGAAGGGATGGGGATAAAAAAACAAAAAACAAAAAACAAAAACCACCCGCCTGAGCACAGGCAAGGTGGCTTGGAGAGCCAGGCCGCTGTCGCAGGTTCCATCATCCATCTCAACTCAGCCCAGCTGGAGCCGGGGCCTGAAGGTTCCTGGGTGCCAGAGGCTAAGTGAGGTCTCCCGGGACGTAAAGGAGCTCCCGCCGGATGGGGATTGGGGACAGGAGTCGATGGCCCTCGGATCGGTGCATGGACATTTCCTGTCGCAGCGTGGGCACACATGCTGCATCCCTTGAGATCCGGGGGTGGGGAAGCCGTTTAGTTCAAGCATGCTCAGAGCCGCGCTCAGAGCTGGGATGGTGTTTCCCGATCTGCGCATGAACACCCAGCCCCTGGCCCCGATATTTCCTCCGTTAGCAGCCCCCCAGGCCTTGCCTACCGACAGCCCCACCAAAGCGCCAACACATTTCAAAATGGAGCAAAATCACGGACGTCTGGACTGCGCTTTGTTCCTAAGCATTAAGCTAAATGTGCTCGCTCCCCGCAAAGCTCCCTTTCCCCCAACCGACAGGAGGCGACCTCTCCGCCCGGGGTCCGCCCTGGGCAACCTTGGCCATGGACTACCAGTTCTCAGGGCGGCTACGAGACCCTCGCTCTGCATTCTGAATTCCGAGCCCAGCTCTAAGTTAGCGGGGGTGGAGGAGGTGGAGGGGGGCGAGCCGAGAAGAGCCTGGAAGCGATCCTTGAGCCTCTACTGCAACCCGCCCGGGGCGGACCCAACTCTGCAGGGAGGCCGGGCACTACCCGGGCTCCGATCTCCGACGCCACAGCGGGAAGGTTCGGCCTGGCCCCAGGTGGACTCTCGACCCTGAGCCGGGCCATTTCCAGGACATTCAGATCAATCTGTGCAGCTCGTGTGGATGATTCGGTTTCAGAGATGCTCATCCCTCTCGGAACTGCGCCCCCGCATCAGTTTTCAGCGATAGAATTAACCAGAAAACCGGGCGGACGAGGCTCTTCGCAGGAGAGCGAGGCTCGGACTCCTTTGCCGGAGGCCCGTGCTCCCCTTTCCCGCTCCCCACTCCCCCGCTTCGTTTCAAGGGTCGCGGTGAACTCGGGCTTTTAAGTTAAAATCTCGCACGTTTCCAAAATAATATTCGGCCACAATAATAAAAAATACATGAGGGACGCTGATTTGGGTGGCTGCGGCCGCCGGAGGCCAATGAGGAAGAGCCACCGGCTCAGTCAGGGTTTTGTGTGTGTGTGTGTGTGTGTGTGTGTGTCGGGGGGGGGGTCTCCCTCCTGCCGCCTCCGGAAGATGGAGGGGCCGCGGCCACGCCAGTCCCTAGGGTTCTCAATCTCTGCTGGGAAGGGGCGGGGCCACGCCCCAGGGTCCTTTCTCGGGACGCGTGTGGTTTCCATAGCAACCTCCCCTCCGTGCCCCCTTCCCCCAGTCATCTCTGGAAAAAATGGGTGTGGCCCGAAGCACCCGACGAACCCTTTTGCCCCCTCCTCACATTCTCCCGCGTGAGAAGCAACAGGGCATGAAGCGGAGAGGGTCTCCGACTGCGCGCTGTCCCCGCCACCTCCTGAGTGTCGCCGGTGCCCCTTGGTGGGCAGCCTGGTGGAGTGTGGCCCCCCCCAGGCCTCTTGGGGTGTAGGGACCCCGCAGAGGGTCCCCCCGCGGCCACCCGCAGAGATCTCGGAGACCTCCAATCCCAGCCCCTCGGCTCGGTGGACGCTTCCTGGCGCGCGGCCCGGCTCCAGGAGGGGGCCGCGCGGGGTCACGCCCGTTCCAGGCATGCCCTCGGGGCTGTGACTCGAGTTCCTTGACCCCAGCAAGCCCGAGATCTAACAAAGGGCTCGAAAATGAGGGGCGGAAAATAGGGGGAGGGGCGGGAGCCTTGGTTAAACACCCTCATCGATAAGAGCCAAAAAACTAGGGCTGGCAACGCAGATCACGTAAGCCCTACAAACAAAGCAGCTAGTCCCCGAGAAAGATTCCGGGTGAACGCCCCCAGAGCTCAAGCCCACAGCAAAACACCAAGATTCCAGCTCCGATTACCCCTCTCCCCCTTTAATTACAGTCCTCGCCCTGTCCTCCAAAGCCCAGCCACCCGGCTTGGCACGGAACCGTAAAGACGTGACACGCCGCAAAAAGATGGCACCTCGCCTTTGGAGGGGAAAAAAAGCAGGGGTGGGAGTGGGAGGAGGCACAGCCTACTCCTCCCCCCTCCTTGCCCACCCGGGTCCACACCCACTGCCGCAGTGAGGGGCGAGCCCTGCGCGCCAGCCCCGCGCCTCCGACAGGGAGCGCACACGCTGGACGCCAGGCGCAGAGCGCAGAGAAAGGGGCCCGCCCCGAAATGCACCTGCAGCCCCCGCGCGCGTCTGTGCGGGGCTGCGGCTGCTAGCGCGAGCGAGCGGGGATCCGCCGATGCCGAGTCTTTCCACATTGCAAGGCCAGGTGACTCCAGCCTTTCGCCTTTCCGAGCCTCCACATCGGGATCCGCGCACTACCTTCTCTCGGGCACGGCGCTGCTCGCGTCTCGGTGCCAGGCGCGCGCAGGGGGAAGGGCGACTAAAGTGACAGCGCCTGGACCCCTCCCCATCTCCCCGATTCCACTCCCAGCCCCCAAATGTCCCCTGCGGGTTTTTGAAGGAGGAAAACGGGGAGGGGGTGGGCCACCGCCTTAAATCAGGGGCAGCGAAAGCCCCAATGGAATTGCTGCCGGGGAGGTGTAGGGAGGGGCAGGCAGGGAGTCATCTTTTCTAGAACCGGATCCATACCTTCCTGAAGGGCTTATAGCAAACCGAAGCAGAGAAATTGGATTACAGGTTCGGTTTCGGGGGTCGTCATTGGACACCCCCAACACACACACACATAGACACACGCCCATTGCGGCAAAAGGTGACGATCCAGAGTGCACAGCAGCCCCCTCCCCCAGGTCACCACCATCCGCGCCCCACCCTTCGCGCTCAACCTCTGCCGGCTGTCGCATGGACACCCCCCTCAGCACACATACACACACACACACACACACACACACACACACACACACGCGTAGGTGCATCCCTTGCATGGGTCCTCTTTCCAAGACGCCGCGGTCCCAGCTCCAGGGCGCACAGGGCGCAAGGAGGGGCCCCCGCTGTTGCCTCGGACCTATGCTTACCTCATGAAACCCATCTCTGCGCAGGGGGCGAGGAGCTGGCAGCATGGGGGTGCAAGGGGGCGGACGGGGAGGCAGATTTAGGAGCTACGCGCTTACCTGATAGTCGACAGAGGGCGAGGACAGTAGAGGAAAGAGAGGAGAAAGTGGCTGTGGTGGCGGCGGCAGAAGGTGGGCGGCGGCGGCGGCGGCGCTGCTGCTGCTGGTGCCGGAGCTGGTGGGTGGCGGAGGTTGCGAGCGCGCGCACCAGGGAGAGGGCGCGCTCCCGAGGCCGACGGGCGGCGCAGGCGCGAGCAGCGGGAGCGCGAGCCTCCCCAAGGGAGGGGTGGGCATCGAGCGCTCCGTGGGCGTTCTCTCCTCCGGCCACCAGTGGGCGCGCGCGAGCGCCCCACCACTCGGCCCTCCCCCGCCGCCTGGCTCACTCCTCTTGACGCCTCCCTTCCCTTGTCTCCCTTCCCCCCCGCACCTCGGGCCGCGGCGCTGGCCGCCAAGCGCACGCGCGTTCTGTGGCGCACGCGCACCTTGGGTCTCCTCCCGCGGCTGGAGCCTTTGTCTTGTCTGAGGGGTCTCCGCCCTTGGGAGAGTCACTCGGTTGCCCCCTGGGTTCGCCAAGGGGCTGGTGCCCCGCCCCAGATCTGCTGCCCCTTATCCTTCCTGTCCCGGGGGGTGATGTCCTATTTCAGAAATGTCCTGGGCGTGTTTCCACGTAGCTCCCCAGTCCGTCCAGCCTGGACCTCAAGGCCTCCCCCTGGGCTCGCCCTGCTTTTCTCTGGCCGGGCATCCCGACCCCCGAGTTTCCCTGAAATGGTCTCCCTCGTTGGAGATTTGTTTCCCTGAGTCCGCTTCCTTTCTACCTGCCTTCTTTCCGCCTTTTTTGTTACTGACCAACGTGAATTCCTAGTAAATCCATTTTAAACAGGCTAATTCAGCTTGGAGCCTGCTTCGGATTCTGTGTGTCTGTCTCTCTGCCCCTCCCCCGCTCAGGCTCTGTCTCTGTGCCTCTCAAAAATAAATTATAAAACATTAAAAATTTTTTAAACAGGCTAATGTAGTTGTAATACAGTAGTGTTGGTTTTTTTTTTTTTAAATAAGGAGTACTCAAGTCTATTATTTACATAACCTGGATCCTAGAATAAAATTTTAAATTAGATGAAGTTTCCAATGGCGCTTACCACGTTGCAAAGCATTTTCACATACACAGTTATTTTTATCTTGTTTATTGGAACACCATTATACTGTAAGTAGAGCTTAGGGTCTGAATTTCCCAAATGCCTGCTGGAGACTCTCACCTGGATAGCACACCTCAAATTGAAACTGACCAGTGGCTTTTATTCATCCGGTCCCCCAGTCCCCCGACTTTGTTTGGCCTTATTTGGTCTATCCAACGTTTAATTTAACGCCCCCCCTTCCCCGGCAGAGGGGGGCTTTATATGTTCGGGGCTTGGGTGGCAACCATCTTGTACTAGGGGTACGGGAACTTGTCTTGAAGCTTTAATTCACATAGCACTTATATTTTCTTCTTAAAAGCCCAATAGTGTATATTACACATTAATACAAAAAGTGTAGGCTGTTAAAAATGCTTTATTCACACAAGATTAATATGTTGTTATTAGGAGCACTGGTAGATGAGGGGGGGGGGGGCTAATTTCTTAAACCACTGGTTCTGAGTCTCCAGAACTGACCTTTTTGTTGTTGCAACTGCTACCATCCTAGTTAAACGCTGCTACTTTGTTTCTGGAAATGTAGTCACCTTACTGGTCTCCCTGCTCTGTTTCTCCCTGTATAGCCCACCCTGCACCCCCTAATCAGATCAGTCTTTAAAAGCAATCATTTCAATCATGGTGCTCTCTTGCTCAAAAATATCTAAAGTTTTCTAACTGCCCCCTAAATGAAATTAAACTCCTTAGCCTTCAATTCCCATTATTCAAGGAGCCCATGTCTCTCCAGTTTTCTTTACTCTGTGGCAAACAGATCTTGTTTGGCGTTTCCCCACCTCTACTCTGGGGTTTTCCTTTGCCTAACAAAGTCCTTGCTCTTTCTCCCCTCCCCTTTCTCCCCACCCCGCCCCCAATGTCCTAGGTAACCTTCAAACCTTAGCTCAAATTTTACCAAAGCCTCCCTTAGTCACCCTAACTGTAAGGGATATTTCCAACCCCTAGAAGGAGCTTAGAAGAGTTACTCATCTTTCCCAAAGTGAAGAGGGGAGTGGAATTAATAGCTCTCTTGTAGCACTGAAGTTGTGTTATTGTCGCCAATTGTTTTCTTTCCCTTTTTCCTGTATGGGGTTTATTATATGTCCTTGCCTGTTACTGTGTGATCTGCACTGCCTCTGCCTTCTATTTCCCCATTGATGTTTGACTCGGCCATTTGATGGTTTTTGGCTACTAGAATTAATGGACATTATGTAAATTTGTCCCAGAAGAAGCTTTAAGAGGCATTGCGACTTTCTACTACTTTTGCTCTTTCTTTCACCACCAGAATGGCATGTCCTGTAGAGCTGCACCTTCAGCCTAGGTCCCAGAATGGAAAAAACACACAAGGAAGTACATATGAGTAACATGAGTTACTCATGAGTAACATGAGTAAGAAATGCACATTTATCGTCTGAATCACTGAGATTTTGAGAGCTGTCATCACAGCAAAGCTGATGATACAGAAATTCAATGAGAATCTATATATATAGGGGCGCCTGGGTGGCTCTGTCGGTTAAGCGACTGACTTCGGCTCAGGTCATGATTTCACAGTTTGTGAGTTCGAGGCCCGCATTGGGCCCCATACTGACAGCTCAGACTGTGGACCCTACTTCGAATTCTGTGTCTCCCTCTCCCTCTGCCCCTCCCCTGCTCATGTTCTGTCTCTCTCTTTCAAAAATAAAAAATTAAACATTAAAAAAATTTTTAATGAGAATATATACTCTTATATATACATTTCTTTATAAAAATCTATATAATTTATATATATATATATATATATATATATTCTTACACAGTATGTTTGTGTGTGTGTGTGCATATGGGTAAAGTTCCACATGCAGAGCCAACAAATAGTGGCCATTTTATCATCATGTTCGTTATCAATGCTTTTGCTACACATGATTTTATTTCTATACGTAAAATAAAATGTAACAGTCAAATTAACAGTCATCCTCACTCAAATGTCCTGTTTCCTTTAAGATTTAGGTAATTGTGAACTGACAGGGGCCTGATGACACTGTGGTGCCAAGATACTGAATGATCACATTTGTCTACGTTGAACTGAAGTAATGAGTGCTCAAAACAACCCTAAACAGATCTGTCATTCTGTCATTTAACTGTATATGATGTGGAGTTGGTATTCTTTCCAGATAATTTAATCACCATAGGTAGCTAATGGCTGACTAATTCAGGCCAAGAAATACATCCCGTCCCTTTCTCCCTGCCCTTCCCTCTTGCTGAAATAGAAATCTCATGGCCACAGGGGACCTGGGTGGCTCAGTCCATCGAGTGTCTGACTCTTGGTTTCAGCTTGGGTGCTGAGCTCATGGTTCGTGGGGTTGAGCCCCACATTGGGCTCCCCGCTGACAGTGCAGAGCCTGCTTGGGATTGTCTCTGCCCCTCCCCTGCTCATGCACTCTGTCTCTCTCTCTCTCTCTCTCTCTCTCTAAGAAATAAATAAATAAATAAATAAATAAATAAATAAATAAATAAACCTAACAACAACAAAAAAGAAATCTCATGGCCACATTCAGCATTCTATGCCCACCCTACAGAACCATAGAAGGTGGAATGACATAGGGATTAGGTTTCAGAAGAGTTAGGTCCTAATCTTAGCCATCTTGTATGATTTAGGTAAATTCATTAACTTCTCTGGACTTCAATTTCTTTGTGTAATAGTGTCCCATGTGGGACTGGAACTAAGCTCCAGATACGCATAGAATTTGGGCAGTCTGCTACCGAATCTATTCATATACTATTTCAGTCAAGGTAGGCTAAACTGTTGTGATAAACAGACCCCAGAATGTAATGGCTCAAACAGCACTTCCTTCGCAGCCTAGGGGGCAGTGTTCCAGGTCGGTGGGTGGCCTTCTCCACATGAGGCCCAGGAACCCAGACTCCCTGCATCTTGAGTCTCTGCCATTCCTTAGAGTCTTGTTGTGTGGCTTGTTTGAGGCTGGGTCATCGTGTGCTGGGTCCAGTTGGCAGAAGGAGAAGGAGCAAATGGAGGAAGCACACTGGCTGTCTTAGAGGCTGGACAGAGCGTCTAATCACATTTGTAATTTAGCGTCTAATCACAGTGTTGTAATTTAATCACATGGCCACCCCTAGCTGTAAGGCACACCAATAAATGTGGAAGAGTTGTGTACCCAAGAAGAAGAGAAAGGATTAGGGTGGAAGTTTCTGCCATGCACATCTTGACTTATATTCGGGATGAAAAAGACCCTTGGGAAAAGAACCTGAACTTGGTCTATCATAAGATTCTCACACATGTGACTATGTCAGCGGACCTTGTGGTAGGTAGTAGATAACTAGAGAAAGATGACAGCCAAATTTCAAATTAAGTTCCAAAGAGAGAAGGCATCATTGGATATCTTTCTATCGGGGCACCTGGGTGGCTCAGTCGGTTAAGCATCTGACTTTGGCTCAGGTTGTGATCTCACCGTTCGAGGGTTCAAGCCCTGCGTTGGGCTCTGCTCTGGCAGCTCAGAGCCTGGAGCCTGCTTCCGATTCTATGTTTCCCTGTCTCTCTGCCCCTACCCTACTTGTGCTCTGTATCTCTCTCTCTCTCTCTCTCTCTCTCTCTCAAAAATAAATAATTAAAAAATATATATCTATTAATGACAAAGTCGCAGGTACTGTTAATACTACATTCAGTACTGATATGTTAAAATTCCAGTAAAGGTTGTAAAAATAAAGACGGGCTTTTCCCCTTTCAAGCTAACAACTCCTATCTTCTTTTTCTATGTAGAGAGGGGCTTAATAAGTCCATTTAATTGAATTAAATAAAGTCTACAATGAGATGAAATGATCATTTTCTTTATGACTGGGTCAGTCTGAGATTTAGCTCGGACAAAAAAATGCAGCACAACAGTGGTTTAAATAAGAGAAAATTTTATTTCTCTCTTACATGGAAGTCCACAAAGAGGAGTCAAAGGCTGATTTAGAAGTTCCAAGACCTTGGGTCCCTGGGTGGCTCAGCCAGTTAAGCGTCCAGCTCTTGATGACTCTTGATTTAGTCTCAGGTCATGGTCTCACTGTTGGTGAGATTGAGCCCCTCGCTGGGCTCTGTGCTGACCGTG